GCCCGCTCCTCCCACGGTGGGGGGACGTCCCCAGCCGCCAAAAGCATCACCGCCACACCGCAGAGGAGAGACTAGACGAGGCCCATGCTTCCTCGCCGCACTACACACGCCCAACGGGAAATTCGATGAAAACGAAAATCAAACATTCCTCAACGACAAGGACCATCGCAGCGGGGCAGCAGAGAGGCCCGAGGAAAGGCAGACTTTCAGACTCTTGCGAAAGCAGGGGGGGGGTGGTGGTGGTGGTAAAAGTCGACAAGGTACAGAACAAAGTAAAGACGCCTGTTAACCTGTTACATGGATCATCTATTACGTTTCAATTAGCACGAGGTCAGTGTGCCCCCCCTTCCTCTTCTTGTCCTCCTCCTCTCCGTAACAATGTTTCGCGCCTTCACGATCTCCGCATGTATCCGCTTCCAAGAGCCAATGCAGCACACGCGGTTCCACACAGAAATATCCGTAAAAGCTCAAATAATGCCAAGTCTGAGCAAAAACAAAAAGCACACACACATCACAAAAGTAGCATCTCAAGAACTGGAACAAAGAATGCAGACAACAACGACAACAACAAGAAACAGTCGCAGAAACGCCAAACTCCCATAGTTACGCCTCGAATTGAGGTTGGGTCAAAACACACAGGGGTGGTTGTGAGCTGTTGCCGCTTCTACGACGCTAGTGGCGTGACTCCCGCAGCGGTGCTCATTGCCTCCTCTACGGCGCACCAATTTCCGCCCACCCGGCGCAGCAGTTCCAAGCCTTCCGGTGGAGCCAACCCGAAGCGGTTACCTATGCGGCAAAGTTGAATACTCTCCAGTATGTTCTCCCCTGTCAGTGTGGCGCAGTGCTCATACATGCTCAGGGGTACCCCGCCAATGTCGTCGAGCACCGTCATTAGCTCTGCATCATTGCTCACATGTTGGCTCAGTGCTAAAACCACCTCCGCCGGCACATCTTTTTTCCTGCCAATTAACTCAGCACGACTGCGATCGGTTCTGGGGCTAAACAGGATACGGCACTCACTCACATCAGCTGCTGTGTTAGCGTTAGCCCCTGCCTTATTGGATGCACCCGCCGTCTTCCCCGAAAATGGGTAGAGTGACACCATGTCGTTCGTCACCAACCAACGACCAGCCTCATTTTGCTGAACGGTAAGCACACGTGTGAAGTTGCGATACATGACTACGCGATCGGAGTTGGTCTGGCTTTGCGGTCCGAGGTGGGTCCAGGCCATCATGCCATGCAGCGTCACCACCGTCACCGGCACCTTCATCCCCACAGGCGCGGCCCCAGACAGGTACGTGTTGTCCAGGAACGAGGCGCCTGCACTGCCGTGCACGAAGTGTTGGACAGCAAAGTTTTTGGGGTACAGCCAGTGCTCCAGCTGTGAGCAGACCTTTGTGCGCCCACTCGCCACAACGCTTGACTTCACCCCGTGCAGCAGGTTGTGATTGCTCTCTGTCTGCTTTAGCCGGAGCCCGACGATTTCGCGAATGACGTTGCGCTGCGTGGCTGCTAATGAGGCACCGTTGACGGTTCGCGCCGGCGAACTCACCGCAGCCTCCGGCGACGAGAGGGAGATGGTGAACGTGGCGTTCTGCGCATAAACATCCGAGACCGCATCCACACCCCGCGCGACCCCCGCTGCCTCCCCCGCCTCAAGCGGATTCAGCAGTGAGCATTGGACAAACTGAAGCACGTGCCGCTGTGCCTCGGTGTACTCGGCGGAGGTGGTAAATCGTGGCCACGGCAACAACAGCGGCGGCACCGTGATGGCCTCCCCGTCGAGCCCAAGGAGAAACGGCATTGCCTTCTTCACCTCCGCGCGGTAGCCATCACGCTTTGCCACAGGGTTACCCACAAGCACCAACTCCTGCAAATTTGTGAACTTTTTAAGTTCATGCAACGCATCCATTGTCTTTATATTATTTGCCTCGAGCGAAAGGGCCCGCAGCGACATGTGCAAATCCGCCTTCTCCATCTGTCCCGCCAGGTGAAAAAGGGACGCGATGTCATTTCCCTTTAGCTGCATGGCAGAGGGGGGCGGGACAATGAGTGACTTGATCGTCGAACAGAGGGCGCGGCAGAAGTTCTGCGTGTTAAAGTTAATGGAGTTTGAAACGTCCTTCAGGTCTGGCAGCTTCCTCAGCTCGCTCAGGTCCAACATCCCCGAGGTCGCGTCATACACGCGCAGCTGCTGCTTCTCGAAGACCAGCCTCAGCATCGTCGAGAGCAGGTTTGTCGCCGCATCCGGTGAGCCGTTGCTGGTGACCGCCGCGTCCACCGCGGCTGCCTTCCCGCCCGCCTCCTTCCCACGCACGTGCAGGTACGGGCAGCGCTGATTCGTGCAGGCGCCGCGCTTGAAGTAGAAACAGGGCACATTGTGGGTGTTCTTCTTCTTGTAGGGAGCCGACATGCCTGCCAGCGCCACGCACACGCGGCAAAAGAAAAAGAAAAAAAGGGGGTTATTCCCCAGCGATAGCTCGCCCTCACGCCCCTTGTAATTTTTTCCTTCAAAAAAAAACTTCACGCAGAGTCTAGAGAAGGAAACAAGAACAACAACGACTAGGCGAAAGGTGGAATACACGCAACTCGTCTAGGTGGTTATAGTCTCTTCCTGGGACTCCACTGCGCCTCGGGGTTTGCTTCGCACCGCCCAAGTGATTCCTCCCTCTGCTTCTCTGTGGTTCGACTGTGCAAGAAAGAAAGAAAGAAACCGCCCCTGCGTCTGCGGCCGGCACAACTACAGACCTAAACTACACTGCAGCAACACCACCAGGCAAAGAAGCAAAGAGTTTGCACAGCAGGAGTAACAGCCCACGTGAGGCGCGAAGAAGGGAAAGAAGAGAGTGGAGTACACAAACGCGGAGTCGCCTGGACGAGTTGGGCTTCCTTTTGTTCTACTCCCCAAGTTTCACAAGGTCGCCGTTAAAAAACAAAAAACAAACAAAACAAAACAACAACAGCAAAAAAGATGCAGTCATATTCATTAATGAAAAGAAGAATTCATAAGGAACGTTATTTTAAATTTGCCTTGGTGGTGTGTGTCTGCGTTCCTTGTGGTTGCCCCACACGCTGGGCCGTCGCTAAGCCGCTGGTCACTGCCCCATCCTCCCCAGGACGAAAGGCAACAAACAAGCACACACAAGAGACAGCAGCAACAGCAACAACAGAAAAGATGTCACTCTTTTGCCGCAGCTGGGACAGAGGCCGCAACGCCTATGCGCCCAACTTCTCCGCCCCATATTCCCTGCTTCCTTTCTACACACCTTTTTTTTGTGTTTTTTTTTTCGATTTCCCTCTTCTTTCGCCGTTTTACTGGGCAAATTGAACATTCATCTCCACATATGAGCATGGGAATGGAATATCGTACGCCCGGAGAGTGTTGGGGTGAACGACACCGAAGCCCCCTAGTCGCACCTTCTGACCCTTGCGGTGCAGGAAAATGTCCATGCAGCGTCCAGGAAAAAAGGCGCCGTCAGTTCCCCGCTCCAACGTGTATGCATCCTCTTCTGCCTCGGCAGCAGGGTCACCCTTTCGCGGAACGCCAAGCTTTGTCATGACAAACTCAACCAGACCATGAATGTCCTCAAAGCCACTGTTTTCACTGCAGCAATGCAGTGCGGCAAGGTGGCGCTGGTTGCTTGCCCCACATCTTGGGTAGTCAGAGTGTGGCCTGATAATCGGCGGGAAGTTCTTCTCGTTGTCTATCAGCACCACATCCGAGCATTCAAAGAAGCGCAACGGCAGCGGGTGCGACTTGTTCGCGTTGAGTGTCTTAAGGATGCCCGGCATCAGGGAGGGGCGACAGACCTGAAATTCTACCGTCTGCGGGTTGGCGATGTGCACCGCGACGTCGTCGTCCTCGCGGTTCAGGCGCGCAAACGCCTCGTCGCGGGAACATAACGAAAACGTTAAAAGTTCCGTGTAGCCCGCGTTCGCCACCTCCATGCGGAGGAGATGCGACATTTTACTGACCGGCTGTTGCGTCACCTTGCCCCGCGTGGTGCACTCTACGTATTGGATGTTGTCGTAGCCGTAGGCGATGGCAACGTCCTCCATGAGGTCGGTGGGCCCAAGAACGTCGGGCCGAGTCGGGGGAACCTCAACGACGACGGTGTCGCCCTCCACCTTGGCGACGCGATGCAGCATGCGCGCGAGGAGTGTGCTGCACTGCTGCGGTGAGTCCAGCTTGATACCAATCAGCCGCTCCACCTTTGGAACCGTCACGGACTCGACAACGGGGTCCAGGTTTGGCGTCACAGCCACCGTGGTGCCGTCCGGCGCCGTCTCCTCGTACTTCACCTGCACCGCCTCCACCGTGAACGGGTCCTCGCAGTAGGAGGAGAAGGCACACACTATCTGATTTACCAGTACAGTGGCCTTGTAGTGGTCAGGCGCTGTGCATTCTATAAATATGTTTTTGGTCTCCTTGCTGATGCACGAGTAATCGGAGTTGATGATGGGCGGCAGGGAAAGTACTTTCTTTTTCTCAGCGTCCATGATAACTGGATACTGGCTGAGGCCAGCAAGAAGCGGGACATACTTTGAGATGTGTCGATCCTCCTTGTAGAACTCCGCTAGACCATCCCCAGTGCAGTCGAGCACACGACCCCGCTGGTTAAGCGGCACAAAGCGAATCGTTTCCTTTGGCTTCAGTGTATACACAAAGTCGTGACACCCGATTTTGTCCAAGTCGTGCGTTCCCACGGAGGCCAGGGTCCGACGACGGGCGAGGCCCGAGTGCAGCTTCTCTTGAAAATCAATGAAGCTGCAATAGCTGCGCTCGTTAAAGCGAATGTCCTTCAGCACGGCGCAGACAACGTAGTCGCGGACGTTACGCACCGACTTCTCCACGGTCATCCTGTAAAGTGGGTTGCTGCGGTTCAGCACCCGGAAGGCGGGGGCCTGCATGAATCCGAGGAACACCTTCAGCGCCGCCGCCATCCCCTCCGCACACTGCAGGTCGTAGCGGTTGGCGGGGGTGTCGATTTTGTAGATGACCTCATCGGAGAGCTCCTCCAGCTTGGCGCCCTCGGCAGCCCCCTGTTCGCGGCTGAACATCTCCCGCTCACTCGTGACGTCGTCTAGCTCCACGCCAAACTCAAAGCAGACATCCTCGAATTGCTCCTCCGTGTACTTCTTCCCAATGAGGTCAAACAAGTAATCGCGTGCAACGGCGAGAGTTGGCATGGCGTCACTGTCCCTCCTTGGCTCTTTACTTATTTGTTATATCAAACGATATTTATTATTTATATATGTGTATGTACGTATGATATTAGTGTTTTTTTTTAAACAAGGAAAATATACGACTTGCCTACACACTGCTAGATCCTCTTCAGATTTTGTACAGACAGCCAACTGCGGCAAGTCATGGGGAAAGGCAAGCAAAGGCGGCGACGACGGCGGTGGTGCAGGACGCGAAAGGGGCAGGCAAACCATCGTCCTCCACATCCTCCGTCCTCCGGCGCAGATGCCGCGAGGAAGAAGACAAACAAAACAAAGCAAAGCAGCACACGCACCTCACAGTGCAGGGTAAAGCAGAGTAGCTCGCTGATGCCTCCACCACTCCTCCTTTCCCTCGCCCCCAACTACAAGCTGAGAATGAGGGAAAAAAACACTCAAGGGGGCTTTACACACACACACACACACTCTTCTTTCTTTTCTACTTAATATATACACGCATACACCACAAAGGTACTTTTGAAAAGAAATCACTTCCGCCTTTTCATCTGCAGTAGTTCGTGAATACGACCGCGTATGGCGTCCTTCTCCATGTCCTCGCCGGTGCCCGCAGAGGCCAGCGCCGCTGACTTTGTCTCGAGTGCTCTGCGCTTCGCCTCCGCCGCAACGGTGCGGTTCTGAAACTGTTCAATGCGCCTGAGAGGGTCGTGCCGCTCCTTCTGCAGCATGTCCAACTCCTTCCGGAGCTGCGCCGCGTCGCTTGTCGACATGAACCCCGTCACGACCTTCTTTTCCTTCTCTGCCGCATCCGCCGCCCCCGCGCCGGCCGACGGGACTCCTTCGTCGCGCCCACGCTTGCGCCCACTGCCTGCCTCCTCCTTCCTAAAGGCGAGTGCGCCACTCCGCACAAGCGACGAGGCAACGCCTGCCACCTCGGCGTTCCCGGCGGAGGCGGAACCGTCGGCCCGCCCCGTTTTTGCCTCGGCAGCAAATATGTTCTCCACCTGACGGAACTTTGCCAGTTGGCCGCCAACGCTGTCGGCGGAGGCCGCGAGGACGAGGTCATCGTACCGGCGCTGCTCCTGGTCTCGCCGCAGCTCCTCGCCACGCTCGGTGGCCGCCTTCTTCTGCGCCGCCTCCGCCTCCTGCCGCTGCTCCACCTTGCTGAGGTTGCGGTACGTCAGCGGGTGGAAGCTCTTGTGGCGGTTGATGTCCTTCTTGTGGGCGGCGTACATTGCGTCAGCGGCACAGGAAACGAAACTACAACTGACACCACAGAGAAATTATGTGGGCGTGTGTACGAATGCGCCCAGACAAAAAAAAGAGAAAACGGGCGGGGTGAAAGAGGCAGATTCTCAACCGCAGCAAACAAACAACCGAATGCAGCAGACGCACACGGGCAGGGATGTAATCTGACGCCCAAGCGCGACAACACATGTCAGTGGGCAAGCGAAGTTTCAATAATAAATATTACATGTGATTGAATGTTACCGCCCTCTCCGCCACACACACACACACACGCACGGCGGCAGTAGCACAGGCGTCCCCCATAAATAAATAAATGTATTTAAAAGAAAAAGCAACATCCCGATAGAATGAAAGAAAAAATATATACCTGTGCGGCGTTCCATGCCTTTTTTTTTGGGTTTGTTTTTGTGGCCACCGCGGCCGGTGGTAACGTGAAGGGGTTGTCATCCTCCACCGCATCACCGCGCCACTGTGCCCTCCGTCTGAGCGGATATGTCTTCTTCTGGCGGCCGCAGGCGGCAGAGACCGCACCGTCTGGCTGCTCTCAGGCAACCGCCAAGACGTCGGGTTATTACTAACAACAGTAATGCCTTTTTTTTTTTCGTCTTTCTTGTCCATCATCACCACCTCCACACGCCCCGGCGATCTGTCGCCGACTGCGCAAACGGGTCCACTGAAAGAAAGAGAAAAAAAAATCGGGAGGGACGGGACAAGCCATCGCGGCTGCCAGCGGCCCCGCCTCACAGCACCTCACCTCAGTCTGCTCCACCTCCGCCCTCTCCCAGCGTCCCCGCCGCCGAAGCGCATGCACAAGCCACTCCACCCCCTTTTTTTTATATTTATTATTATTTTTTTTTTGTAGTTTTTTTTTTGTATGGGTGTTTGCGCACCACCAGTGCCGCACTTTTTTCTCCTTCTCCCCCTCCCCCCCCTCTCCCCTCTCTCCAGACGCTCACGCACAAGGGCGGTGAGTTCGTGGGCGCAACGTCACGGCTCCCCGCCCTCGCACCAACGCCACCACACGGGCGCGCAAATGCGCAATGCGCTGACCGTTGCGGGTCAATACTCCACCGGTGCCAGCGGCAGAGGCGACGCTGCGACGCCCCCGCCCCCGCAGAAGGCATACGCACGCGAAAGAAAAGGAAGCCCCTGCGGTTTCCCGCGACTGCGCAAGAGACAGCAATGGTTTCCATCAGGGATGCACACCACATGCGTTGGAGCCACACACACATACACACACGCACACACACGCCGCCCTCTCTCTCACCGGAAGTGTGTACGAGTTGAAGTGCAAACATGCACCCCAGCGGAAACACACTTCCGGCGAGCGCGTCGTGGTGGGGGAGGGAGTCAGGGGACAGGCACGGCAGTGCGGCGGGTAAAGGACGTGGCTGCACCGCAGTATTAATAATAATGGCAAAACAAAAAAACGGCGGTGAAACAGAGACAGGGAGGCGAAGCAAGACAAAACCGCAAGGGGCCGCGAGGTTTGACCCGCCTCTCCAGAGAAAAAAAAGAGAAAGAATAAGAAGGACGATGATCGTAGATTCGGTCACTGCAAAGCCTAAAAGGAAAGCGACACAAAACGTCTACCTTTATAAGAAGTACCACCACCACCACTGAGCCACAACGTCTCCAAGAGTCGGGATAGAGATGAAGCGGCGACAGCAGCAGATAATAAATTACAACAGGGAAAAAGAAGAAGAAGCATTGAGGAAGAGAATAACTGTGCACACACAGGGATAGAGAGAGAGAAAGAGAACGGGAAAGTAAGACTAGACGCAGCACACCGCATCCTTGCAGTTCTGGAACGCTGCCTGATCCTCCAACGCGGGCACTTGTAGGCGAACATATATATATATATATATATATGCCCTGGCACCAACCTTCCTTGTTTTGGGTCAACGCCCCTCGCCGGCACATTCATAAAAACAATTCCTCACCAACATAACGTACTCAATTAAAGCTAATTTATTTCTAAATAACTTTCGCGCCCGCTACCCCTGCAGAAGGGACTGCATGGCTGCACGGTCCTTCAGAGCCCCTTCTACGCGGTCCGCCGGCAACGTCGGGAGGTGACTCGTGATAAACGCTTGTACATCCGCGTCGCTGCCAAAGTGTTCAATGACGCTTCGCATGACTTCCGGCGTGGAATTCGGCAGGTAGCGCCGCCGCATAACTTCCACCCTCGTCGCTTGGTTCGCAAAGAACAAAGGGGAACTCGCTGACCCGTCGTCTTGCAACAGTGCACGGTCGGGGCGCATAAACACCATATCATTTTGAATGGTCCACATGTTATTGACGCTGTCCCAAAGAAGCGACATGGTGCGATCAAAAAAGGACGTGAGGAAGGGCGCCGCGTCCCGTGGAATCAAGTCTGCCCCATCAGCGCCCTTTGGGGACCAATGCCAAAGGAGTCTGCCATGCACACTCAGTACGCACGTCGGCACTTTCATGTTGTGGGAGAGAAAAACGACATTGGCGTTTCCGTTAAGTTCATGTGAAACGCTGATGAACTTCTTTTCACCACCGCCAAGAGTCTGAAGGGCCAATGACGCCTTGGCGCGGCCGAGGGAGACATTACGCAAAGAGTGCACATCAGTGTGGAGGTTTCGCCACGGGATTTGCTTTCGAAGAATCAAGAAGTCGTTGGCCATGATGTTGCGTTGCTGCGGGCTCAGGGAATGGCAGTTGTGCGCGGCGTCAAACGGCAGACGTCGCGGGATAGGCTCCTCCGCCCGGCTCAGGCTGCACACCACACTCGGGCTGTATAAGTTAACCAGGGCATCGTAGTTGCGCGATGCAGCGGCGGCGAAGACATTACTCTCAAGAAAGCGCAGCACGCCAACTTGGGCCTCATTAAGGGCTACAGGCACGGGATTGGGCAGGCGCATGAGTCCGCGATCAACCAGTTCACCGTCGAGCATCATAAGCTTTGGCAGACCCTTGATCACCTGCGCCCTGTATTCGCCGCGCTTCGTCACAGGGTTGTCCCGCAGCAGCAGCTCCCCCAAACCCTCGTACCGCTTCAGCGGGCCCAGAAAGGTGAGGTCGGAGATGTGGTTGCCAGTTGCAGAGATGGCAGTCAGCCCACGGTACACGTCCGCCGCCTCCAGCGCCGCCAAGAAAACGGTTAACTTCCGTATGTTGTTGTCGTTCAGCACGAGAATGCGAAGGGAGTTGCCGACCTTTTTTTTGATCACGTCGACGAGGCTCTTGCAAAATGTCACACTGTTGAAATCTACGCTGTGCTGCACGCTGAGCAGGTCCGGCGACTCCTTGAACCGCGAGAGATTCAGCATGCCAGAGCTCGGGTCAAAGATGTCCACCGCGGACTTTTGGAAGAGGAGGTCCAAGAGGGTTGTCATCACCGACGTGGATGCGCCGTCGCGGCCAGCGGCGTTGCTGTTACTGTTACTGTTATTGTTCCTCTTTCCCGCCCCGCTGCCGCCGCCACCACCACCGCCACCGCCGCCACCACCACCACCACCGCCACCGCCGCCGCCGCCGCCGCCGCCACCTCGCCCATACCCGCGGGCGAAGCGCCCACTGGGAGCATTATCGTTCTGTTGGAAGCCTCCACGGCCCGGTCCCCAGCGGCCCCCACCCCTGCCACGGTTCTTACTGTACGGACGGCTCATGCCTGCAAAGACACCAACTTCTGCCTCTTACTTTCCCTTATTAGCCTCTAACTTACGACAAGACGTCAGCGTGACTGCGTTACAACAGGGAGGCAGCAGAAAAGAATGAGAAGAGAAAAGGAGTGGGTTGAGATGAAAAAGCAAAACAAAAAACAAAACATCCGCCCCAGCCAACGACACCCAACAAGGAAACATCCAATACTCTGTACACCAACGACACTTTTCAGGAACAACCCCCCGCCTTTTTTTTTTGCCCCCTGCCTTTTTCGTGTCGTGTGTCGCTTCCTCCTGCCTTCGGTTTTGCAGTGTGGGCGCGTGGCTCTGCCTCATGGCAGGCGCTTCCGCCTTGCAATCCTCATCAGGGTTGCGTCGTGCAACTCATGGCCGGGCAACTGCCAGAGGTAGTGCTGCAGCGTGTCGTCGGGCGCGTACGCGTACGGCGTGTTTTGGCAGCGGAGCCACAAAAACACGGTTGAGCCAATCGCCATGACTTTGCTCCAGTTCACGATGGGAACTCCAGTCGTGGGCGACAACTCCACCGTCTGCCCCTTCGCCTCCTCGCTGCGGAAAAGCACGCCAAGAAGTGGTGCGAGCAGCGGAATCATCGGCGCCTGCGACTCTTCCGGGGCGCGGCTGCTAATGCAGGAAAACGAAGAAGGGCTCGCTTGGGAGGCAAACGGGTCCATGAGGTTCTGCAGCGCCGCAAACTCTCGTCGCTCCTCATCGCCTAACATGCCGTGAGGCTCAACCCGTCTTTGGTACAACTCCTCCAGCGCCGCCACCGCAGGGTGCTGCAGACCGCCCAACACAGCCGAGGCCATTTCATAGTTTTGCTGATCGTACAGCCAACGGCACAGGCGAATGGCTTGCCTCATGGCCTTTTGGCACTCGGACCATCGCGCCGGGCTCACAATCACAGCCGTCGCCCATCGCTGCACGTGGGAGGAGTAATCAATCAACCGCGATAAGTACGTAGGCACACTCATGCGCATGGTTTCATCGCACCACGCATTGTTGAGTAACTCGCGCAAGCGAATATCGGCAAACAACTTAAATGAGAGAAGGCATAACTGCATTGCAAGTATTTCCGCCCCCAGTGCCGTAAATGCAAGCGCCGTTTGATGTCTATCCCTTTTTAGACACGCTTCGTGCAAGGCTGCCCCGACGCCATCCTCCGCTTGCGCCCCACCAGCCTGTTGTGTTGACGCCGGCAATAGGGTGCCTAACGGCTTCACGGGCGCTGTTAAACGCGGTTGGCAGCAGACGTTCTGACTGCCCTCGTTCGGCCCCATGCAAGTTTCTTCTACGGTGCGCTCAACAAACGCGGACAACTCGTTGAGACGCGGTGCAACTTCGGCATTCACGACAGGGAAACCTTCCAGTATTTGTTGCGTGGCCGTCGCTGGCGGCAGTGCCGCGTCCCAGTCGGCGGGATGGGCGTTGCGTGAGGAATGCCCCAGCGGAGGTGTGACACGCAGCCCCCGCAAAAAACGTCGGAGACGCTCCAGGAGAGCGTACGTCACATCCGCCTCATGATATATGCAGTAGGCAGTCATAAACTGGACGATGCGGCGCTGCAGAAACACGCGGCGGCTGTCATCCAAAAGCACTTCCTGCTGTACGTGGCGAAACAGGCGGATCAGTCGCACGAGCAACACCTCCGGCGTCACGAACAAAGAGGCGAGGACTATGAAGGTGTTGGTGTAGTTCATGAGCGGCATTCCCATGGTGAAAGGGACGTCCGTCTCGGCAAGAATGAGGACCTCAATGAGGAGATCCAACGACCCACCAACAGCGGAGCCGCACGAAGCTGCGCTATCGCTGTCGCGCTGCGTAGGTGTGTGCTCCTGCGACCTCGGCTGCCGCATCAACGGCTCCAGACGATAATCTCTTCGCCGGCAGTTAACCTCCCGCCAGGGAAGGCTGTCGTTGAGGAGCTGCCTGCGTCGCACAGTCTCCATCACGAGGAGCAACAAGTCATCACTCGTCATGGCGTACGTCGGTGACGACAGCGCCTCCGGCCTTTCCTGCTGCGCCGACGGAGTTGGGGCCAAATAACGACGCTGACGCTCTTGCTGCTGCTGCTGCTGCTGCTTTCGATGATAATGGTACAGGCAGCTTTGGAGTTGTTGCTCCGCCAACGGTAAGTGCATCCTAAAGGAGCGTTGTGCCTCGCCGTATCCATTGGCGGAGAAGAAAGCCGCCACAAATCCGTTAACATCGGACTCAAGTCGAAGTTCTCTCAAGCAATCAAATAGACGTGCACTAGGGCCCGTCGTGTCCGCCTCGCCCACACCTTTGCCCTTGTGGACGTGAGTAAAGGAAATGCTGCTGGTGAGACGCGACGTCGCCCGCTCGTACTCTTCCATGCTTCGCTGAATAGCCTGGTTCATGTCCAACACGGTTAGGGGGGGAGGTGCGGCATCTCTACTGCAGTTTGCCGCCGTTTGGGGAATCGTCGGCGACGCAGCGGCACCCGGGTCGCGGTGTCGTCGCCTCAATTTCTGTTGCGCGTCAACCACAGTGAGGGGAAACGGAGTATTTGAATTGTAGTACGGGTAGCGGGCGAATAAAGTAGATGCCCATGAGGCTTCCGCGTCTGAGCCGGAAGGAGGCGAGGCCGGAGTCGGCGACTTGCCAGGCGTGAGGGCGCCCCTGCCTTCCGTACTGCCCGGCGACAAGGGGGGCGTAGCGGCGGAAGGCCACACCCCACCGCTTCCCCGCACTTCAGCCGTCGCAGGGCAGCTGGTGGTGCCTGGTCGCCGGACTGGGCGCCGCACGACGCCCTCAAGCGGGCGCGGCGCCCCCGCAACGGGGCTCGCCGGTGCGCCTTTCCCGTCGCTCTCGGTGCTGGACGACGACGACGACGGCGGCGGCGGCGGCGAGAGGGGCGAGGAGAGCGCTTCCCACTGCGTCGGGGAGCACACAACGAAGCGGCCGTCGGCCACCGGCGAGCGCTGCATGGGCGCCAGGACGCCCACCGCGAGTGGTCTGCCGCTCGCGGGAAAGTGACAGCGGGGGAGAGGCGGCACGGCTGAGAAGGGCGGGGGCGCGCATTGCAGCATATTCGCGCGGCAGCGGGCGGGGGGAGCAGCGAGGAGGAACAGGGGACCCACGCATACGCCCAGAGCGTAGGTGCAACGGGGGGAGGGGAAGGCCGACCACAACGAGGGACGCAAAGAAAAAAAAGAAAAGAAAAAAAAGCAGGGGGTCTCGCCCATATACGACGCCGTTGCCTGCTGCAGCCAAGAGAACGCTGCTCGATTAGTAAAAAGGAAAGCTGTTGTCCGCCTCCTGGTGGTACCGGTTAAGTCCCCCGTCCACGTTCAAAAAGCGATATCGCCGCGTTGCGGCGTCGACGCCGCCACCGTCCCCCGCGCCGCAGTGTGGCTCAAGCGACAGGAGAATTTGGGTGGCCTCGGCCGACCAGACCCCTCTGCGGCAGAGCACAAAAACCGTCACGCAGCCGTCGGTGCCAGGGAGGTGGCAACTGGCAAACCGATCCCACTCCTCCCTCAGCACACCGTCAAGCTGCCACTTCTTGAGCTGCGTCAGCGGCAGTGAGACGGCGGTGGGGAGGTGGGCCATGTCGTACTGCTGTCGCACACGCACATCGAGTAAAATCAAGCCGTTTGCCGCAGCGGACGCCCCCGCGCGTTGAAGACATGCAAAGAGCTCCTTCGGCGAGCTTCGCGCCTCTGCGAGAAGGCGCTGCGCACTCAACGCAGAGCCAGACACACAGGACGCCCCAATGTACTCGGGACGCTCCGCCAAGAGCTGCTGTAGCCCGCTACTGTTGTCCGCCGCATCGCCACACGCCGGGCATGACGCTTGTCGACCACGAAGCTGCACAACGCGCATGCGGAAGCGGAGCCCATCAAAGACAAGCATGCGCCCCGAAAGCACATCCCCGGCCTGCGCCAAAATCTTCAGCACCTCCATCGCCTGCAAGCTACCGATGCAGCCAGGCACCGGACCCATAACACCTGTGTCGTTGCAGCTGCCGACCGCCTCTAGCGGCGGGGGAACAGGAAAAAGGCAGCGCAGACATGGGCCACCGTTATACCCATACACCGACAGTTGACCATCCCAGCGCATCGCACTGCCGCTCACGACAGGTTTTTGCTGTCGGGCGGCGGCGTCATTAATTAAATAGCGCGCCGCAACGTTGTCCGTTCCATCCACCACGACGTCACAGTCCCGCACAAGATCCTCCGCGTTGGATGCGTCGAACATCAACGGCAGGGGAACAACCACAGTGTCTGGGTTAATTGCATTACATGCACTTGCCGCGCTCTGCACCTTTTTCCACCCGACGCGGTCGGTTGTGTGTATCACCTGGCGGTGCAGGTTGCTCAGCTCCACCACGTCAAAGTCGACAATCTGCAGCTCACCCACGCCGGCGGCCGCAAGGAAAAGCGCTATGGTGCTTCCCAAGCCGCCCGCACCCACCAGCAGCACACGCCCGCGGCGGATGCGCTCCATGCCGGTGGCGCCGACGCCCTCCACCATCATCTGCCGCGAGTAGCGCTCCACATCTGCCTTCGTTAACGACTCCGCCGCGCTAACAAAAGACTTCCACATGCCACCCACATTTTCTTTGCGTGCAACGTGGCCGCCGTCGGTCACGGCTTGCGGCGCCGCGGCGCCGCGGCTTTCGCTCAGCCGGCGCTCGAGTTCCTGCAGCCTGCGCCGCGTCGCCGCCACTTCCAGCTCCAGCGCAGTTGCGTCCTCCATTTCGCAGAGAAGGCGCCCCAGCGTCGGTGCAACACCCGAGCAGCCCAATCAGCCCGCAAGATAAACTACACACGCGCAAAAATAAAAGTAAAAAAGAGAAACAAAGGCGCAAGGGAAAGGGCGACGAGTGATGCTGCTACTGCTGCTGTGCACGCCTTGCGTGTCTCCAGCGAGGGCACAACACACGTCTCTCAGATCCGCACCAAGAGGGGCTCGCGCCGTCCTCTTGCCTCCTTCGGCACTCGGCGACAGAAGCGAACCTTCCCACTCGACTACTCACGCACCCCAAGAATCCGGGCAACACGGAAACAATAAGCAAATGATAATAACCAACAACAACAAAAACTCTCGCACGCCCACCAAAAAAACAACAACCACAACGACAGGCGTAGCGGCAACACAACAACGGGGATGACGCCCGTACAGCTTGGCAACGGCGCAGGCTACCTTTTTTTGCGCTGCGTAGGCAGACGAAACTCCCCACAGAGAGTGGCGGGAAGTGAGCGGTGAAGTTCGATAATGGGCAGGCCGGAGGCCGCCGCCAGTTTGTGTATCACGTGCGTGAGGGTCTCCGACTCCGTCGGGAGGACGTCCTCCTGCTGGCGGGCGCCCTTTTGCTCAAAGGAGCACACGTACACGCGAACCGCCTGCGACAGGTGATTCAGGAAGAGCACCAACTGGTCCGAGTGGAACTGTTTCAGCAGGAGTGAGAGGCCCTGGGCAAACGCCTCCGGGTCGAGCAAGTCCTTCGAGAGGTTCGGCAGCATGGAGGAAACGGCCGCGTCGTAGCGCATCTTCGGCACACTGCGCAGCGTGAGGGCGAGGAGATGGAAGACGAAAGACGGGATAGGCCCCGACGTCACGTACACCTTAGACAACGCGTCGCTGACGCCGACGCAGTCCAGGAAGGGGGATATGACGGCGATGGCGTCGTCCGGAATCGGGTGGGAGCCCGGGTCATGGTAGTGGTGGCGCAGGTCCATCAGCAGCGCCTCGTTCGCCGTCGCGAGGGCGGCGAAGAGGGAGCCGCTGTTCAGCTTGCAGAAGGAGCGCAGCTCACTCGCAAGCATCGCGCGCATGAGTTGAATACGCCCCACACGGACCAAAATCTTCGCGAGCTCCGCGAAGTGACCGCCGCCGCCGCTGCCGCCGCCAAAGGCCTCCAGGAGCTTGGCGTAAATGTGCACGGCGTTTGGCGGCGTCCCACTGGCCGGGCACAACTCTCTACCGAGCTCCGCAACAACCTCCTCCACCGGCTCGAGTGCCGCACGAATAGACTTCAATGCCAGCTGCAGGTCCTTTGCAAGCACAAAACACATCAGTCGATCCAGCGCCCCGAGGCCCATGGATCCAATGGCGTTGCAAATGCTGGTAAAGGTGCGCGTCCCCACAATCTCTCGCAGAGATTCGCGCTCGTACCAGGAGCCGTACGCCGTTAAAAAGACAGAGCGCATTGGATCAGTCATTGTGAGCAGGTGCTGCAAGATTCTCCCAAGAAAACTGTACGCGGCCTTCTCCTTGTTGCGTGGAAAGTACGGAATAGGGATGCTGTCGGATTGATACTGCGATTTCCAGGGGTACAGCTTCTTTTGCATAAAGGCATTGCACTCCATCTCCACATTGAAGTTAACGATGCGGGAAAACTCCTCCAGCCAAATACGGAGTCCGTGAACATTGACGTAGTCCTGAATGTACTCAAAGGAGGCTCGGATGCCGTTCAGTTTTCGTGCGAGGCCAGCAAGCTCATCATCAAAGCGGCTCGCCGAGATGGGGTTGTTTCGGTCAAACAACAAAGAGTGATGCAGGACGTGTGTGATCTGTCGCACAAGCTCCTTACGAATACCATCTTCCAAGAGTTGGTGCGAGTCCACCTGAATCACACCCACAAGTGTGCTTTCCATCGCAAGAATGCCACTGGCATACCTGGCGATGTCAGCGGTGAGGGCAGAGAGCGTACGTCGGAGGTCTAACTGACTCTCATTCTTCATCTCTCTGCGCAGCAGCTTCGTCGGGCACTCGCGGAGGTCGTCAGTCAAGATCTTCATAATCTGCCGCAGCACGTCAAAGATGGAGGTTGGAATGACATGCAGGACTCTTCGGGCGAAGGTCACTAGTTCACTGGAGTAGTACTCCGAGGTTGTTTCCAGCGCCGCCAACAGACGTGCGTCATTCTGCGCACCCTGATCAATACGGTTACACGGCAGCTCCAGCATAGACGCCAGTTTCACAAAGACGGCACGCATTTGCACAGCAAGATCTGGTTGCTGCTTAATCTTCATTTGAATGGCATCCACAAAGCAGCCGTATGTGGCCACAAGCTCCCAGGCATAGGACAAGTCGCCCACCGTGGCGATCGTAATGAGCACTTTGTTCTCAATGTTAATGTACCGTATCATCTGGCGTAGAAGAAAGCGTGTGTCCTGCACAAACTGAACAACTTGCAGATTGCTGTCAATCTGATGAAACTCCTGTACATTTTCAAGCGCTTTGATTAATTTTTGAATTTTTCGGCTGGCTGTGACACTGTCGTTGTACTCCAGCCCCTGAATACGTTCAGAGATCTCTGTAAACCACGCCTGCAGCTGTGAATCACGCACGTTATCGCCAAGCACATGCTCCCCTGAGAAAAAGGTGGCCAACTTTGACATCTTCTCTGCCCCTTCCTCGCGCGAGGACTCCCACTTGGTGCGTTTCTGCCGCAGCAGGGTGGTGAACATGGCACGGAGCGTGAACTCCAGCTGCGCCGTGCGTAGCAGCAGCGTGATGATATCGTCCTCCGTGACGGCCCCCGCGACCATGTCGTAGCTCCTTCGATACTTCTCAAGGCAGCGACTACCGGGGGCGCCGCGGGTTGTGTGGAGGATAAACCATCGCAGCACCACGTTGGCCTCTCGGATGCGAGGCAGCAATGCGGAGTGAATGTTGTCCAGAACGTACTGCTCCGTCAGCACACCCTCCCGCAGGACGTCGCCGATGGAGGTGTTGAGGGAGGCCATGCCAGTCCGCATCCGCGCCAGGTGGTAGCCCACATTCTCCGTAGCCACGGTCCCACTTATGGCGGCGCTGGCCGCCTTGAAATCCTGCCACGCCAGCGTGAGATCCACCGTAAATCCCATGTAGTAGTTTATCACCCAATTGTCTGCAAAGTGCTTATCCACAATCTCTCGCATCACAGGCCCCTCTTGGTGCAGTATCTCTGGACGGAAAAAGAGAAGCACGTACAGGGCAGCTCCCTGCAGCGCCAAGGCGGCACTGCGGTGCTCGGGCGCAGGATAATTGTACGCCATCTGGTAAATGTCATCCGAGCGAATACGCCCCAAAATCATTCCCACCACCTCCTTGTCAATCGGCACACGACTAAAGTACGCCACAGGATAACACTCCGGTAACGCCTGCTCAGGCTCATAGCCGGTTGCGCGGCAGAGGTTGGTGACCTCAACCATGTTTGCCTCACCGGCGCCCTTGTAACGAATGTAACTCACAAGAAGGTTTTCTCGCGTCCTTCCCCCAATTTTGCGATCTAGCAGTAGCAGCATAACACCGTAGAGCTGCAGAATCTCACAGATGAGCTGTTTGCCGTCAAGATTAACCAAAATTGACTCTAGCGTTTGCGAAATGTACATTCCCTCCCGTATCTCCTCTATGAAGCGGTTTAGCTCCATCACGTACCCGTAGACGCCGCGGAAGAGCTTAAAAAAACGGTCAAGGAGCTCCATGTGGGTGCTGGCAAACACCTCGTCCTTTTGAAGCAGCTCAATGGAGCTCTGAATGCGTTCTTCAAACGCATCCTGCGCCTTGAAGTAGCGAAAGTCACTAATGAGGGCGGCGTACTCCGTCTCCTCGGGGCGGATGAACTCGAGCGGAATGTGCTCCGAGAGGCGCAGGATCTCGGCGATGATGCTGCTTCCCCGCGCCGCCAGCTGAAGAGCATTTTGCCCACAGTCGTCATTCAAGAACTCCGAACGATGCTTCTTCCATTTCTCACGGTTCATCTCTCCCCCGCCGGGAACTGCCGCGCAGCTATGAAAATCAGTGAATGATGTGTGGCTCCCTTTCTCCTGGCTGCCTCTCCCAGCGGGTTTGCCCTCCTCCGCCTAGTCTTTGCCCCTGCTGCTTTCTTTCGCCCCGTGCTACAGTGTGAGGGGAGGCAGAAGCAGAGTGAGAGTGAGCCGGGCCAAGCGTACCCTCCCCCCGTGCATGCACAGAACACAGAGAGCACGAGCACACACAGAGGGAGGAAGAGAGAGAGAGAGAGAGAGAGAGAGGGAGGGGAGGGGAGGGAACGAAC